ATCTAGGTCACGCCCCTCCACTGGAAGGAAGTTAAGTTTCCTCCTTTGTTCGCGCTCTCTCACCATGTGAGCTCATTGAGATAAGATGTGCCTGAGCTTGCTTACTACAAGATAGGACTTTTGTATCCCAATATTTCTGCCTGTGCTTTTGATGCTGCATGGAATAACATATGAATCTGATCTTTGGAGTTTGTAAGTAAAGCATGTAAACTTACTAATGGTGTAGTCTGTTCATTGCAAGAGAGGTAGAGAGGGGAAGTGCTGAAAACAGACTAGAACAGAATATTGAAAAGGTCTAACAGCCTACTAATCCCATGCTTCACTGTGCTGCATTATTCAGTGATTTTAAACTCTGCTGGGGGCTTTCTTGCCGGGGAGTGTGTTTAGCCCCTCACTTTGGATCTAGGGATTCAGTCAATTGTTTTATTAATTGCCCCACATTTTCTTTTTGCACTGTACTATATAATATATTCAAGAGCAGGACATGGAACCTGACTACATTTTCTTTTTTAAATCATTATTATTTATTTATTGAGATCTACTTTACATGTAACATATAAGACACATATAAGACATACACAATACAATACAATATGACACTATACAATACAATACCCTCCTAACATAAAACGTACCTACACAAAACTATACTATACATACCTATAAACCTACCCCACACGAACACCCACGTAGTGACTTGACTTCCAACCATTCTCATTGCACTAGTTTATTTTTCCTATTAGCTTAAACGCATTTTGTTATTTCTTTAATCTCTTCCTCCATCTCTACTCTACTCTAATTTCATTCTATGCTTTTTTCTGGATTCAATCAATATCTGTCAGGAGTTCTACTTTCTCCACATAGATTTTAAGGTATTTCTTAAAGATAGTCCATTCCTTATTAACTTTTTGTACCATGTTTCCTCTAATTCTCCCCATTAATTCAGCAATATGAAAGTATTCCCTCATTTTAGATAACCAGTCTGTTTTTGTGGGAACACTGCTACTTTTCCATTTTTTGGTGAATAGTATCCTTGCCACCATGGTCACATACATAAATATTGGTCTGACCGTTTTTTTAATTTTCTTCTGTCATGATTCCCAAAAGAAAGGATTCCGGCTTTTTTTCAAATGAAAATCTAAACATATTTTTCAGTTTGCTATCAATATTATCCCAAAATCCTACTATCTCTTTGCACTCCCACCATATGTGTAAGAAGGTGCCTGCCCCATTATTGCATCTCCAGCAAACATCACTACAGTTTTTATACATTTTGGCCAATCTGACTGGGGTCAGGTACCATCTATATTGCATCTTCATTACGTTCTCTCTTAAATCATAGCATGCCTGACTTCATTTTCTCATGTCATTGGTGCCAACATGCACCATGGCCACTCACTCCTCCCCAACACTATTCGTCATACTTTCTAGATACATCCACAATCTTTGTGCCAGGCAGGTAAGTGACCATGTGGTCTGCCTGCCCATCACACACCCAACTACGTCCCTAACTTCCGAATTGCTCACTACCAAAATGCTCCTACCTCTAGAGGTCTGTCTTTGACCCAAGAGGATAACTGCTCATCCCCTAACTTGTGGGGATCATCCTTATCCAAGAACCCCATTCTCTATGACAGCAGTGGAAATGTCCCCCTGGGAGCAGGGCACAGCTGTCCCAACCACAAAAGGCCTTGTCCACCAAATTCTCTGTAATTCTTAGCTACTCCAGGCCTCAGGGGAATAGAGCCATTTCCCAAGGGCCAGTGATTTGCGTGGACAGGCGGAGTCCCCAGATCCCGAGCGGTCCCCCCCCCATCATGTGGAATAACGACTCAAGATAACGTGCTATGGGATTAAATTGGCCACAACTTTATTAAATTTCAAATGTGGGTAGACCATGGCTCAGGCATTGGGCATTTTCCCTCCCCAGTCCCCAGCCGGGGACCTAGGGAGCATCAGGGTTATCCAGTGTGTGGGGGGGGGATGGGCTGGCTCTGGAGAACATATGTTCAAGCAGAGATAGCCGCCCCCGTTACGTCGCCACCGCAGGGGAGAGCAATGACGACCTTTCGGCGTACGGCCAAAGCCTCCCTTCAGAAACCCCTTTAACGGGGAACCCTGGTATCGCCGCCGCAAAGAGGAAGATGGACTAAAGGATTCCGCCCAAGGCCTGATACCGCCAATGTTGTGACGTTTTGCTACAGGAAAGGCGAAACCTGCCAATGCAGGGAAATTCCTTTCCGGCCCTTTAACAGCGACCTTAACGTAGCAGCGCCCGCATACCTGTGAAGAAAAGTTAGCCTGCAAAACCTGTGAAGAAAAGTTAACCTGCAAAATAAGACATTAACTGAGGGTGGGTAGGGTGGGAGAAGCTCTGGAGCCAAGTGAGGATGCCCAGGTAAGATCCTCCCTCTATTGTGTGGGCAGGTAATCCCTCCCCTACCTGGCCTGGTCTCCTTGGCAATGCTTTCCCCAGGTGGGATTGGACAACTGACTGAGGTAGGCGGAGACCTCCAGGTATCCCACCTGAGGGAAGGCAAAGCCAAGCCTATGCTGATGGAGCCGCTCCAGATCTAGGGGCTGCGCGCGTCCACGCAAAGGGCGCCCCCCGTTTTAAGTGGGGAGTGGTCATTACGGCACTGAATAAACACAGATGACTATGCAATACGCTGGATAGCCACCACACCTCTGTCTGTAGTGTACACCTTAAAAAAAAAGTGGGATAATTTTAAGTCACTCATTTCTACAGATATATTTCAAAGCTACTTCCTGCTATCGTTTCAGCTCCTCCCCCCCCCCAGCATAAATTTCTTGCATGCTTTGTGTATTTCAAAGGTGAAATAAATGTGATGGATAAAGAAAAATTGCTCGTGTTGAAATTTACAAAATGCTTCAGACACTGACTCATGGCCATGACAGTTATTGAATAACTCTGTTTGAACAAAAAAAGTCCCACACAAAGGCCAACAAAATGTGTGCTAGTATAATATCATTCCAGCTCAAATGCTCTGGAGTAATCACTGAGCGATAGGGGTTGCCAGTTTGCCAAAAGGTTGTCATCTTGGCAAGCACCCAATACCAAGTTAAGGATGTAGTCATCATGAGGAATTCTCCAACAGTATATAATACCTAGGAAAATCACACATGGAGGGCTAAAGGCCACCATTTACAATCAATTAGTTTTTGGCTTTATGTACTGTGCAAACATAGCTTACATTATCTGCATGGAAAATATTCAGCAATTAAGCACTTGCAATCAAGGAGAGGGAATGCATTGTGCAAAGGCTATAAATCCACTCATTTGCTGTCTGTGCATATGTGCAAAAAGGATGTTGGCCAAGTTACTTTCTTCGGCTGAAAGATGGATTTATCCATGGTAATACCCTTTAGTTGGCTCCATAATCTGCTGGTGAGAAGTTGCAAGTTTCCACGTTCTTGAACGTCATCCTGCTTTTCAAACATAAACTGTTTAAAACTCAGTCGGAAATGGATAATGGTTTGGATTTTGGCTGTCCATTGGGAATGCCCTGGCCCATACTGCCACTTATGGAATGAATTGACTTATTGGACAATTGTATGGAGGCTAGATTATTTATCTGTTTATGTATTTATTTATATGATATACTGATTCCCACCCCATCAAAAACCATTTTTGAGGAGGCTTACGTATCATAAAAACAATAAAAAATACCAGCTGGCAAGATAGCATAACGCCCTCCCCCTCAAAAATAGAGGATGGGAAAAACAACATCTAGCAGAAGGAAGAACAACTGGATATTATTTTGGAGTGAACATTTTAAATATTTTGAAGAAATCCTGTACATATATACAACTGACAGACAGATAGCTGGAAGTTCTGTGTATTTTTATTTCTTTCCATCTATTCCTATTTTTTTCTCTTCTTATCTTTCTCTGTTTCGTATCTCTTTGTTACCTGCTCTTTTTCTGTTTTGTTTTGCTTTGTTTTGGTTTTGCTTTGTCTTTTGTCGCTGTTGCCCTCTACTCTAGGTCAAAGAGAGAACTGTGATGGACAGTTTGTGAAGGAGAGAAGGGGAGATCTCCCAGGAAGAGAGGCTGGGGGGGGCAGAGAAAGGGATGCTCCCAGGTTAGAGCTGATAGGACTCACCTTTTTTGTTTGGGACCAAAGCTGAGATATACCTTCGAGAGAAGACCTTTCCTTTCTCCTCTTTCTTTTTTGCTTTTTTATTATTTTTGGGCTTAGATTAGTTTGTTTTTTATTGCATTTTGAAAAATCTTAATAAATTTTTTAAGCCTCATTTTGCCTATTGAGTAGGCCAACCCGTCCAAAATCTTTTCTGCCTCAAGTATCCATAAATTTCTGTAAATGACTGAATTTGTACTGCCTATCATATAACCTCGGTTTCTTCTGATAAATTTTTACTTTTATTCTGTTCAGTCGAGAACAGAGGCTGCTCCATACAAGGAAAGATGAGCAAAAGGTTGGATTAGTATAAACTGAGAATTATAGCCTCATTTTACCATCACTCCATAAGTTCCCGGGGCTCACAGGACAATTCTATACCTCCCTGCTGGTTCCAGATACAGTACCAATCCTGCTACAGCATACAACGTTGCCAGATTCTGCACAGCAGCATTTGATATTTGTCAGATGATAACCTGTGCCACAGGCTGGAGTGCTCTGTAGACTGATAGCTGTGGTCTTGTATATACTAGCTTTTTGCACTCTTTCACCCTTGTCTGATGTTCCTAACCCTTCTTTTAGACTTTCTTAGCCTCTTTTGGATTCTTATGGATTTTTATGTATGTATTCTGTTTTAACTCCTTTTAGTGTTGTTTTTTTAAAAACATTTTAAAAAAAGATTTTAAATGATTTTAAATGATTGTACCCCTCCCTCCTTATGCTGGTCTACAACTATAATAAAGATTTGTTGTTGTTATTGTTGAGCTTGCTCCATACAAGGAAAGATGAGAATTACAGATCCTTTATCCAGATTATTAAATAACTCATTTTATTACAGATTCATTGGCCTACTACATCCCTGCAGGTGGAAGAATGCACAATCAAAGGAAGATATGCTGTATGTATTAATTGGAATATTCCTATTTACTGAAGGGAGGGGAGTATCAGAGCCGGGAACCCCTCTTTATGCAAGACCCCTCTCTCCCACATGCACAGGGCCCCCATTTTACATGGCACTCAAACAGTGTTGAATATATTTGCCTCCTTTAGCATCCACTCATGAACATGAGCGCCCCCAGTTGCAGACCCTCCAAGTGCCCCTATTTTCCAGGGATGTCCCTGATTTAGAGAAGCCGTTCCTGTTTCTGATTTGATCTCTGAATGTCCTGCTTTTCTGAAGAACGTCCCTATCTTCATTGGAGAAATGTTGGAGGGTATGGAGTTACCTGACCCCTGAGCTGCCTGAAAGCAATTCTGAATAGGGAAGGGTTTTTAAAAATGTTTAATTATGTTTTTATGTATGTTGGAAGCTACTGGGCATCGCAGTAAGATGTGTGGGGTATAAATAGTAATATTATCATTATGGAATGGGATGTCCTTATTTTCATCGGAGAAATGTTGGAGGGGGGGAGGGAGAGAGAGCGCTTGACCCAGCCTTCATTCTGGCTCTTATATGTCATTCCTTTCCTTCGAGATCATAGGAATGAGGCTTAAGCCCTGAATTGACCACCTTAGATGCAGGAGAGGCACACAGGTGTATTCCTGTTATCAGAATGTTATAAAAAAAGCTGACCAGCTGCAACATAGGCCACATTGTCCTAGCAGCCCTGGTGGGTACAAGAGATGAGCAGCCAGCACCTCACCTGGGACAGCTCTTTGATACCTGGTATAACAGCTGATCAGATCAGGTGCAACAGCATATTCCTTAAAGGTTATAGCACTGACTGAGGGAGTCTCCTAGGTGTATGTAAAGAGTTCTTCTGTTATTTTAATTTGACACTGAGGCCCATATGAACTTCACAGTTCAGAAGGCTGCACATGAAACCATCTTTAAGGTTATAGTTTTCAAGAGCGTAAGATGTTACCATGGATAGGTTATAAAAATATTAAATACTGGAAGTCACTTTCTCTCTACCATTTAAAATAACTTCTCCTTTTGACTTCCTAAGCTTTTTATCTCATATCTGTTTCAGAAAAATAATAATTTAAATCATTCCTGAAACATCCCCTTCAAAATCCTTTCAAAATTCATAACTCAAAACATTTTGATTTTGATACACCTTGCTTATAACTTGCTTCAGTCCTGAGCAATAGAACATTTAGCAGATGTTTTCACGCTTTTCTAAATCACTTGTTTAGTAGTGATTTAGCACTACTGCATCATTTGATAGCAAGCCTGGACAACTTGTGAAATGCCAAGCCAAACATAGCTCACCTTTGAGGACTCTCCCACCAAGACTTGGTTTTGGATTCTGCTTGGAACTACAAAACCTAGGGGCAGTCAGATACCTAGCCGGCCACAACACCTCTGCAAAGAGAAATGAGACCCCTTACAGTAGGTTAGAAAGGGGGATTTTTCCAGCGGCATTTAAGAGTTGCTAGGCCTCAAGGTTTGGCCTGATGTTTGGGGGGTTTAGGCTGTGATCTTATACACAGTTATCTTCTAGAAGTAAGCCCCAAAGGGACATGCTTTTGAGTAGGACTGAGTATAGTCACGTGTTGTCACTTTCGTTCTCGGGGTTTCCAAGAAGCAGTATACAATATTAGCATTAGAATACGGAAAGAAGGCCTAGGCCCCTTTTCTGCTTGGCTTGTTGAAAGGAATGAGATTCCTTGCTATTACTTCTTCTCTCACGTCCATCAAACTCTGCCTCTGATGCGCCAGATGTTCTTCCCTGCCTCCATCATCTCCCAATTTGGCCGCCCCCCTCCTCTCGCAGGCTCCTCTTCCGGATTCCCTGAGTCTGAGGCTCCAGAGTCCTGACAACTCACCCTTCTCCTCTGTGGAAGGGGAACTTCCATTTAGATTTGGGAAGCACATCCGTATGCCAGATGGATAGAGGAAATTTGTTCAAAGTGCAGTCTTCATGATGTCACCTCAAGAGACAGAAGAATTGCTTTTAAACGAGGCCTACTTAATTGCAGTTCTTATCTCTCCTCTTAGGAAGAGTGCGCAAATTACATCCGTGCCCTGCACCGATTCAACCGAACACACCTGCTGGCCTGTGGGACAGGAGCTTTTGATCCCGTCTGTGCCTTTATCCGAGTTGGCCATCAGTCAGAGGTAAGAAACACTCTGTACAATTAGCCCAAAGAAGTCCTCTGTGAGTATGGGAGTGGGGAAACTTTGTGTAGTCTTCCTTCAGGTCTCTGTGGCTGCTGTCTGGGGACTGGAGGTCCCCACACCAGCTGCATTGATTCTTTATCGGCTCTCGGAACCCACCCTTTCCCCGAAGGTTGCAGAACCACAGATGGTGAGCTAGACAGGAGCTTCAGTGCCACTGCTGAAGGACCCAGCTAGTTGTAGATGAAGCTGCTTGGAAGGAGAGTAAGACATGGCCATGAGCCTTGAAAGGTCTACAGCTCCTAAGCTCCCAGCTTCATTGAATTGCTTCACTGATGAAGCCTTTGAGGAAAGTGATACATACTATGACAGCCAACGTGGTCCCGAAGAGTGATAAAGCCCATTATTACTCAGGAGACCTGCATTCTGGTCAGAATGCGTCTGTGGAGAAGGAAAGCTAGTTGTGAAGACCAAGACAGCCAGACCTATTGGCTCTCTAAGCTGCCATTCTAATTCCAGAGCCAAGTGTGATGGTCACAGGACCACCATGATTCTTACATGAGTGTGATTAGTTGTGTTGTATCATTCATACTCTCCCAATAAGAAAATGGAAAAGGATATAATGTTCAGAAAGCAGCATTAGATTTGATTTAATGTATTTCTTTGCATGAACTTTCAGCTGTAGCAGAGAGAGCCTACCAGCTTAGGGGTAAACATCAACTGACATCCCTACAGACACAGCAAGGAAGCTTAGAAAATATATGCAGTTACAAAGACTGTCCTTTCCATTTACAGTTTTTATCCAAACATATCAGAATGTTTGCCAGAATAGTTTGCATTTTATTATAAACTATCAATCAAAGAGTGTGTACATATAAATTCTAGCCATAATTCCCAACAGAAAAAAAGTATCGTTGAATGATTTCCTAGGGAAAGATTTGGATGGATTGAATAGGATCTGCTGTTTCCTAGGATATTGGAAATCTCCTCCTAATTGCTTGGAGCAGAATGCGTGAGCGATATTTACATTGGTGTAAAAATACTGTATACAAATCACATATATTTTTCATCAAATGTTACACTTGTTTTGAAAGTGTGGTTTCAGTCAGAGACATTACTATAGGAATGACATGTTTATGCGTGCTCAGCCTGAGTAAATGTTCTCACTATAGCAGTAATATACCTTGCATTCTCAATTTAAGGCCTGCCAGTTGGAGCTGTTACCTTAGTCTTGTTTGTCAAACAGGCTATAGGGAAGCAAAAACCTCTGAAGATCATACATGTCAATGGATATACTATTGGTTTTGTGAGGGAATCTTCACAATCACCCTAGTACAGCAATGCACTTTGTATATTTTTATTCTTAGGCTCCATTTTTTGTTTTGCCGATATTGCGTGTGTGTGTCTGTGTGGTCTGATCAATAAACTTTGTTGTTGCTTCAAGATACATCTATCAAGAGCCAAGAGCCTAGATACGTAGCTAAATAGTCCCTCTACCTCCAACCCCGTTCAGATGAACTATATAGATAATAACAAATAACCAGAATCTGCCTCCCCACCACCCACCCATTTCAAACCAGCCATTGCACACACACCCCTTTTCTTGGATTGCCATTTCTTAAATAAGTTCCCACCCGCAAAGAGCTATTTTACAATCTATCTAACAATGTTAGTTGTTATGTTAGTGTGCTACCTGTTCACTTTATCACTTTTGTTAGTTTACGTGGAAATTGTTCGATTTGGTTGTGCACTTTTTGATGATTTTATTGTTTATGACTACTTTTTATGTTTGTAATTATGCAATCTCTTATATGTTGTAAGCTGCCTGAGCATGGTTTTAACTTTGGAGAGGTGGCAACCAAACAAAATGTCAGATTGACTGTTTAGTGTTTTTAATTATTTGTAGTCACTCTACTTCTATGACACTGTGAGTTGCCTGGGGTGGGTTACGTCCCCTAGAGGCAGCCTATAAATGATTTTAGAAATAAATAATGCATCCAGTTGAAAAGGCTGCCAATGGTTTGTTCCGCTTCAGCATTGACTAAATGCTCTGTAATTAATTACTCAGTGAATTCTTGCAGGCCTGTTTCTCATTCTTGGTTCTGTTCGCTGTTTTGTGAGCTTCCATGTATTTCCTCATCAATCAATCAATAAAAATGAAAAATGCATAAAATGAGGAGGGATGTAGTGCTGCAGCTAAGAGGCTGAGCTCAGAATCGGGAAGACAGCAGCTCAGATTTCACCTCATCCACGAACTCATGAACTCAGACACACGGCCTCATTCCCCAGTACATACATGGGAGTTATGCTCACTAACCTATGTAGCTGTTGTGTAAGGATCACAGCAAACTCATGTCCGTGATGCATTTTGAACACTCAGACGTGCTCCACGGGAGGCAATGGTTGTTCTGATTGCTGTGGTTGTTAATTCTGTCTGGATTGTACTGAGATGTTTGATCCCACCTTTCAAGCAACTAGGCTTTTTCTTCATTTGTTTTTTTTTAAAAAAACGAACAGAATGCTAAAGCTGCAATTCTCCCTATGTACTGAAAAGGATATACCAAGAACTCTGGCCACAAGTTTCAATTCAAGGAATAATTCCTACTTAAGAGTTGAGATGAAAAACGTGTATATTCTGCTAAGAATAACAGTTTGAAGCTAGTAGTAAATTTAAATACAACATGGAAGTACGCTGGTTTTAAGGCAATAGTAAATTTGGATACAACGTTTAAGTCCAGAAATAATGTAGTTTCAAATATGCGGTGATATGGTACAAAGGTATGTGAAATACCAGTGCGCAACAATTGTTTTATACAAGTCTCAATGGCAGTCAAAAAGAGTCCATATTATGTAAAATCAGGATGAAGAATAAAGAATAAAGGATCAAATAGGGCCAAAACGGAGTATCCGGAGTATGAATCAGATGTACGACTCAGTAGTGGTGACCAGGACAGGGCCCTGTTTCGGAGTAAACGCCTTCTTCAGCTGGTAATATCAAAAAATACGTCCAGGTAGAACAAGGTGCTTCAATAACATAAATCATAAATATAATAAATTATATACATTCTAAAGTGTGTTAACACATATCATAATATTTGGTTCCATACCTCGGTTTTTTTGAGGACTATGAATCTGTTGGAAGTCTATATCATTTAATCCTTTTCAGTGCATTTCCAACAAGAACTCCAATTTCTTTAACGATTATTCTCCCTATGTAGACTTGAAAGTTCATCCCACTGATATCAGCAGGCAGTACGCCACAAGGAATTCAATAGGACTTGATTTTGAGTGGCCGTGGTTAGGAATGCACAGAAAATCTCATTGAATTCAGAGGAGCTTACTCATAAGTAACTGTCCTTAGGACTAAAGCCTTAGAGCTGTAGCGGATGAGTTTGAGCCCCGCATGATGAAAAGAAGTGCACAAACATTTTCATAGCATTCTGGGGAGCATGCTAATCTAGAACCCTTTCTCTGAATCTTCTGTTTTGTATTTGATTTTTCCGCTGCCATGAAACAATAAGGGGCTGCTGCTCACCTGTTTTAGCTCTTAATGTGACACAAACAAGGTTAGGATTAGGGTGTAAATCTACCTGAGCCCAGCATCAGCCAAGTTATATTTCCAACTGCACTGTGCATGAATGGAGATTTTACCTGCCATTTATTATCTGTTGAGCTCCAGTGCATTGTTTGAATTCACAGACTTTCTTTCAGTTCATTGTTTCTGCTCTCTGTCCTTCTCATGCAACCTGCAAATAGATTCCCTTAATTCTTTCAGTAGTTATAGGCACCAAGGCAAAGTGCTACAACTTTCACAAGGGAACTGGGAAATAAACTTGTACAGCTGTCACAGGACCTAAATGTGGCCGATGGAATGTCCTTGGACATGCATGTATTGGTGTTGTGTTTTTTTATTTTAAAAAAAAAACACCAGGCATTTAAAACTGACAAGTTGAAATGCTTTTTATTAATTGTCTCCATAACCAAAATTTATGCTGTGGCTCCCCGCTCCGCACATCTGACAAGTAAAGGAAATGTGGATAAATGGATATTGTGATATTAATAAGACATCTGTTATATAGGATTAGTGATATTAGTCAACCGTGAGGCCATGTGACAAAAGTATTGAAAAATGTGTTTCACCTCATGGTAAGTTATGAAACGCTTGCGTGAATCCACCAACTGAAAGAAAAGGAGAGCCGTTTCCAAGTCCTGTGGCAGCTTCAAAGATGAACAAATGTTCTGTGGTGTGAGCTTATATGAGCCAGACTTCACCCAAGGCATGAAATATTTACCTAAATTGGTGTAATGAGAGAAGGGTTGTTGATTTTTTTAACTGATGAGGCAAAGTGGTTAAATAATACAGGATAATGACCACTCCCCGCATTAACTGCGGGGCGGCTTTTGCATGGTCGTGCGCAGCCCCCCCCCCCGGAGGCTACTAGACCCCCGGCAAGGTAGCTGGCTTTGCTGCCCCCCGAACTGGATACCTATAGGTTCCCACCTAGCCTCGTCAATTAGCCAATCCTGCCGGGGGGGGCATTGCCAAGGGAGTTGGCCAGGTAGAGTTAGGACCGCCCACACGCACAATAGAGGGTGTAACTTACCTGTTGGTCCTCAGTCAGCTCCTGAACTCCCCCCACCCTGCCCTCCCTCAGTTTATGCAGTCTTTTGCAGTTTAACCTTCTTCTTTACAGCTATGCAGGCGCTGCTGCGGTCCTAGATGGTCGCCGTTGATGGCATTGGCAGGTTTCGCCTTCCCTGTAGCAAAACGTCACAACTTTGGTGGTTTGTAGGCCTTGGGCGGAATCCTTTAGTCTATCTTCCCTTGATGGGGGGGCATGAAGTGGTGACCCATGCCCCCCCCCTGCGGCGGCGATCCCAGGGTTACTCGTTAAAGGGGTTGTTTTGAGGGGAGGCACTGGCCATACGCCAATGGGTTGTCAGTGCTCTCCCCTACGACGTGGCAAAATGGGGGGCGGGCTCTCTGCTTGAACAGACAT